AAATAACTATGAGCAGTTACAAATGTTCACATCAGTCTTTTTTCTGTTTGAAAATAAATAATATTCAAGTTTCAGTTTGGTTGAGGTTTCCTGTAAGAGGTTTGTTTTTCGTTTAACTTCACCTACCACGTGCTGTGTTTCATGATTTGCACTAGGGTAAAATGTTAATATACCAGGAATGTAAAGCAAGTGCCCATTTAATAGCTGGGCTCTCTGTCCTCACCACTGTATTTCCTTTCATTAAGTGTAGCCCTAGTTTCCTGCCAGTCCCCACGCACCTGATCAAGTCGACAGTGTAATATTTATAATAGATTTTAAATTCATCTTACTCTTGTAAGTAGATGTTTTCTTAGTTGTCATTTGGTTTAAGGTTTTGATTATTTTTTTTAATGTGCATGATTTTCATTTGTTTTAATTCACTTTAAAATCTGCATGTTGTAACTGTACTTAATAAAATTATCCACCTACACTTTGGTGTCTGTGCTCTGTGACCCTGAGGAGTTCGTCTGTGATTGGTCACTCGGATGTATGTGCAGACAAGTAACATTTTCTTTGTTTTGTAGGAACAAGGTTGTAGAGTGAACTGGAATCATAAAGAAAAAGGTAAGCGTGTGTGTGAGAAACCCTGACAGACACTGTATGATGTTACTGCTGCAGTTGCTGTTTTTTGTTTGTGTTGTTTTTTTAGGATCTTTTTAGCCTTCATTATGGCCTGGAAATGTAGGTCAAGCTCTTCTGGTGTTTTCATCTAGATCTAGTACTAGACCATGTTACCACTGTGTAGGTGAGTGACAGGTACTGATGTACAGTATGTGAATCGTGACTTGTGGTGAAACTGGAGGTTCATGGCACTGTAGGATCAGAAGTCTGATGCAAGTTTAGACAGACATACGATACTGTGGGTTACAGTTTTCATGAATTTCCACTGACGTTCTTGGTCAACAGTATGTGTGGACTGTTGATATGTTGGTATTATTAATACTAAGATTCCTTTCTGCCTGGACCTGGACTTGTTTTTATGATCTCTTTGTTAGTGTTTGGGTAGAGGAAGTACAGTATGTAAGACTGTAACTGAAGGTTTGTGAATAAGTAACTCAGCACATTTGATGGTCCAACAGTTCAAACCTACTGATGTTTTCAATGTCTGTTATAGTCGTGATGGTCACTAAGTAGTTAACTACCCATGGCTGTGTTTTGTGAAAGAAATATGAGAGAACAAACAAGTAGAGCACACAATATATTTTCACCAGATCCATTTTCATGAAAGGATTTCAACAGAAACCAAGAAGAGCCAAAAATGAAGAGAAAATGACTGGTGGCTGTCTGATACGGCCATTTCTCAGTCAGATGTCATTTCTGCTCTGAGATGAGCGTAAAGGACAAGAGTCTGTCTTCACGTCTGACTGGCCACAGCCACGATGGTCTCTGGGTTGGTGGATGACAGGTACTGCAGACACATACACTGCTCCCAGTCCAAAGCTGGTCTTTCTGGGCTCAGCCCTCTCTCTGCCAGCCTGGTCAGTAGCAGAGCTCGTTTGACCATCAGCCAGTTGTGGACAGCTGCTGTGTCTTTGTAGAGTGAGACGGGTGGACCCCACAGACGCACCTGAAGCATGACCACCGCGTCTGCTAATTGGAGTCTGTTGTTGTCATTTTGCAGCAGGGAGGAGAGGTCAAACAGGACTTCTTGGCACGAGTCCTGGACCAGACTTTGGTCAGCGTCTGGGCGTGCAGACTGTGTGCCCAAAAAGTATTTAATCAGAGAACTAATCTGGGATATCAGGGAGTGAGGAGGAGCAACCAGATCAGAAGACTGTGGGCCTATAACAACACGAGGGGAGCCACAAGTCCTCCATAACATGTGGACTGTTCCTTTCCTCTTTTCTCCAGGCCACTCCATGTCCTCTTTCATTCTGCCGGTCTTCAGACCCTCACTTGTCTCCCTGTATGGCCACACTAGAAAGATCTTCTGAGGTCTAAGGTCAGGAACGGTGCCACTGGTGTCGTACAGATGCTGTGAACCCAGTAATATCTGCTGCAACAGAATGCACAGCATCCTGCCCCAGTCCAGACCCTCTGAACCCCGCATCAGGCTACGTTCCTGGACCAAGTCCTCCAGAGTGGCCTGGGGCAGGTCTCTCTCCACGCTGACGGTCAGGCCTTTCTGGAGAAGACACTCCACTGTGGTCAGAGCATCGACAGGAGCTGTAGAATACTCTGCCATGCCCCCACCTGGAGGGTTAGCAGTAGTGCACTCTGATACATCAATTCCAGGCCTAAAGTGAGCTACTGTGTTCTGCACGTTGACGTGTGGTGGCTGGTGTTTGAGTGGATTGTCAGTTGCATGATCGTGCACCTGAAGAGAAAGATGAAAAACCATGGTGTTAGAGGTTAGATGCAGGAAACCATTACTTTTTTTTATCATACACACATCTGTTTGAGAGGATGTTTGACAACACTGATGCAAGTTGAACTGGTTTTTTACTGTAGCGCAAAAATCTACTTAGTGTTAGTCAAACTTTGTTTTGTTGAACTAAAAAAGTGATTTTCTTCATATTCACCATTTAAGTCTAGGCACTTTGGCTAAGAGTGGTTTCATTCAGGAATTCTGTCTTTGTAGAATCATGAATGCCTCTTATCAACAATGTGTGCTTTATCTTAGGACTAAAATCAAATTGCTTTCAAATATTCCTTCAGTTTAGGGGGCAGAGATAAATCAGGGCTGTGAGGAGGGGCTGGAAGTATTTTACTCCGAAATCGATGTGTCATCATGATGGAACTTGTTGAAAGTCCTAATCAAATTAGCTCCACACTGGAGATATGGTAATTAAAATGGTCAAAGCTTTTCAAGACAACTACATTAGCAGACAGAAGTTGAACAAAGAGGTGCAGCTGTACCTTTAAGGCGAGCCTCCTCCCTGGGAACCTGTGGCTCTGTAGACTGTGGTAAACACGGTCTCCGACCTCCGTCGGCTGACTGTCTGATTGCAGCAGGAAGTCACGAGGCTGGTACGAGCTAAGATGGTTATCTGCACCTTCATCTCTCAGCAGGATCCTGGACTCCAGGCTCTGTGACAAACTTCTCAGGCAGAGCAGATGACACTGCTGAATGACCTGATAGAGGGCGCTGTGGTCGTCACAGGAGCTGAGCAGGAGGGACAGGTGTTCATCTGCGGTGTCAAAGGACAGCAGGGAGAAGGAGGACCAGTAGGAGGCAGACTTCCTAGCTGGCCCTAGCTCTTCAGGACACTGATGGAAACAGTGGTTGGGTATGGGTGCCAGCATGTACAACGGGTTGTCAAAGTTTTGAGGGTTCTTCAGCACAGGAGACAAGGGAGACTGTGGACATTGTAGAGACAAACTGGTGGCAGGGAAGGAGAGCGTTCGAACGAACCTCTTCCTTGGAACTGGAGGTGGAGTTCTGTCTGAGAAGAATCTCTGCTGGTGTTGAGAGGAATCTAAGACACAAGGGAGGAATTCTGGTTCAGAATTGAAGAGAGCTGACCGTTCAGTCATGGATAGTCATGGGTGGAGCTTGTTTCCTCCAACCTGCATTAATACACCCTGTCAGTAAAGATCTAAGACTGAAATTGAATGAATTGGTTTAAAAGGTAATTCAAAGAAAAGAGGAAGTTGTAAACTTTACTCTGTTTCGTTGTTTGGCAACAGGTGTCTGTGTGTGGATTATTCTAGCATTAACCACTGGTTAGGTTGATTTGTGAGAGTGACTAATATAAAACTGAATAACCAACTGATGTATCTTTCCCCCACTTTTATTCTAAGCCTTTATTTCACCTTCTTAATGTGTGCAAATCTTCCTTTAAAAAAAATCATGACAGTTTTGAATCTTGAATTTTTATGCATGCTCAGAAGCACAAAACAAATATTAATGATTCATTTGCAGTAGACAAAATATTTAACAGAATGGATGTGGTAAGCATGTGAGAATCTTTCACTTCACATTAGCTGTGACATGAAGTGAGCCACAGCCCTGTGGTTGGATACCCTCTCTTCTTCACTATCTCAGCCAGCAGCTGGCCAAAAAGTCAAGTGATGTGAAACAGTGTTGGGTTCTTTTTTTTCTGTAGTGTTTTATTTTTGTTAGTGTGTGGTAGTGAGAACTAACCGTAACGCTGGTGTATAGGACAATGAGCCGCCAGACACTCTCTGGGTTCGATGAACACGTCGTTGACTCCAACAGGGCTGAGCAATGCACAGGATTCAGACTCCACGCTAACTCTGTGAGGAAAAAAAAAAATATATATATATATTTTTCTTTACCCTTCTACTACATATATGTCTGGACTGTTGCATAAAAATAAAGGTTTTCAATTAAACTTTCACAAAAGGCTAAAGTTTAGCCGTAGCATCAATGAGACTTATTATCATAAAAACCTCTTTAATCGTTCACATGTTCATCAGTGTTAGAAATGTAAAAAAAAAACTGTTGATGGTTGGGTTTTACCTGTGCTGTTTGATAGGCAGTGCTGGTGGCGGCTCCTCTGCCCCGGAGGTTGAACCAGACGCCATCTGGAAACTGTGGAGTTAATAACACCTAACACCTCTGATGCTGTCACTGAGAGATGTCTTGTGCTGCTCAAACGGGTGACTAACTCAAAATTCTCACCGAGACTTCCTGTTCTTTCAGTGTCACCGTCTCCTCCCTCCCCCCGCCCCCCCTTCCCGTGCATGTGTTAAAATTTTCAGTCAGCTTTGGTCTATCTGAGGTTGGCACCGGAAAGCAGCATCTCTTACGAGGAAGTTCTCTGAGCTACCCTCAGTGTGACAGAAAAAGGAAAAGAAGTTGAAACAGAGAGACTTCATTTCCTCAGATTACAGTTGATCTACTTTTGTCATGTGAAGACTCCACCTGTGACTGAGGCACTTCATCACCTTCATCTGCAGCAGCTGCTGTGATGCTTCAACTCAGAACCTCCGCTGTTCTGAGAAAATGAGAAAAGAGATAAAGTCAAATGAAATGGAATTTAAACTGAACTGAACTACTACACTACACTACACTACACTACACTATACTACACTATATTGCACTATACACTACACTACTGTTTCCCAAAGACTGGGTTGTGACCCTCAGGTGGGTCGCAAGAGATTTTTTTTTGTTTTGTCTCACATCATGTTTACCAGGAGTTTACGAATATTGTCTATTGACTTTTTTTGGTCGCAAAGGTTTGTGACTTAAATATGAGTCCCCAGAAAAAAAGTTTGGGAAACAGTGCACTACACTGTACTTCACTACACTGCAGTTGTATTTCGTGCACCTATCACAGGTTAACAGTTCCACGGGCCATATTTTCACTTCCTTATTATTTACAATCCCAATCTGTAAACATATACTGTACATACAAATCTAAGAAACTATACCTACTTATCCTTGAGGTACTTGTCTAAAACATTCTGCCATAAGATAAAATATATTTTAGAAATTGATTTAAAAACAATTTAGAATTATCAAGTGACCAGTTTTTCTTCTTCTTTAAAATATATAACATAAAATACGCTGAGAAATGTGTTTGTTTTTTCATTCCAATTTAAACGGTACCAAGACTCAAGGTCAATACATCATCATAAGAGGAGACATCTGAGGAAGTCAAGGTTCTTACATCTTTGCACATATCCTCCAGATGTCATACATGGTGCTTTTGACATGGAACCTTTGGTAAAACCACACCGGAAGACAGACAATAATGTTACACATGGAGGTTGGTGTTGGTGTCTGAGTGGGTGGAGGGCATGGAGAAACACTGCAGACTTCAAGTGGCATTAATATTTATAATCAACAGACAACAGCCGCCTCAGGCCTGGATGACATTTATCAAGTGCCAGTTTAATGAAGACACAGATGTAGGAAACGTAAGGAGGGTTGATGTTCTAATGGTATCAGTGGAACAACACCTGTGTCAATGCTGTTCTGTGATATAATAGTAGTAACAATCACACATCATTATTAGTGATGTCATGCACTGAGTGTGTTTGTGAGTGTGTGCTGCTGAAGTGCTCCTGCCTACAATGACTAACACGTCCTCTTTGTCAATGGTCTACTGATAATAATGTGTTGTATATTTACACCTCGTACAGAAGATCAGCATCTCTATGAAAGGATATGATCATTAGGAGGAGGTGCACCACTGTGGCTGGATGACGCAACAACATCGTCCAGCCACAAGACAAAGAGGCCAGAAAGGGACGTTTTCAAATGTTGACTTAACATTTTGAACTTTTTTTTAAATTTTGAATAAGTGACTCACTAAAGTGTAAACTCTTCATGTGTCCACAGTTCTGTTAAACTGAGACAGAACATCAGTGTATTCAGTGTTAGGGCTGGTCTTTTTGCTGGTATTGTAGGAGAACAAATCTTACAGAACGTTTTGCTGTTGTCCTTGTCCTTGATGCTAAAACATCTCCAAGCTGTGGACATTGTTGACATACTGATGGAAGTAAGTACTGAAGGAGTATCGGGAGTATGGCATATCGGGTCGTTACATCGGTTACGAGTACGATAGTGGCATCAGTATTGGTGCTTCCATAGATCGAACGTTTCCTCTTGGAAAGCTTTATTTAAAGTACTTTTGATTTGTTTTGCCTCACTCTGAGATGTCCAGTTAAACACACTGTAGCCTGTAGCTACTAGGGCTATTAGGGTTTTTTAACCTTGGGGTCGCGGCGCCAAATGCGGTCGCCCAAAATGTCTAGTGAGTTTGGGAACCACTGTACTAGGGTGAACATCAACTAACACTGCAGACTCTTTCTTAAACAATTTATAGTGAATTGTTAGCGAACTTAAAATGAAGTTCAATTCACAATGTAAAACGGGTGACGCCACGTACATGCACAACAAGAGAGGTGATTATAAATCTACATCACCTTGATCTATTCTGGCGTTCAGGGACAATTGAGTCTATAAAAGACAAGCGCCGTGCGTCATTAAGATGTTTAGCTCTTAAATTCTGTGTGGGAGAGTTGAGAGCTCAGGCTGTAAACATGCATTAGGAAGCCATCATTAAAGGCCTCTCCACTCAACCTCTTCATATGCTAAAAAGGAAGAAGGACATCTTGGGTTGTACGCCTGAGGGACACGTCAACACACATTCAGACTCACTGAGGAGACATATTTTACCAGACATGTGACCTTTAAGACCATGGCAGCGTTGGAGGAATTTATTAACTGCGACTCACTCGCTGCTAATTTACACATTTAGTTAAAAACCTTGGTCAATTGTAACAGTGATATTTAAAAATAACACAAACAACATTTTTTTTCTGCAGAACTCATGCTGTTTTATTCTTCCCAGTCTAACAACCACAGTTACATATTTCTAAGTTTCTTCAAAATATTAATATTTTAGATGTTTTTGACATGACATGAAATTCCTTTTACGCGAGGAATGTGGCGTTCCCTGTCCCTGATTTATCCAGTGCAAATGTTTCCTCCTACTGTGAGGAAGTGAAGTGTTTTTTTATAACCTGATAAAACCGTTTCTTTAGTTTTCCGTCTCTGTGTCTGGCTGCAGGACCAACTGGCACCGTTGTGCTGCTGAAAGAGGAACAGGAATCTTTCCTGCCTGACTTCAGTGATATTTCTGGAGTTTGCAGGTCAGATGAGTCTTGAGAAAAGGTCTTTTTGGCTTCAGACTTATAAGAGCAGTCAGCACCAGTGTTTTCAGTCCTAGTGTTAGGAGCCGTCCCAAACCAGGCTGCGGTCTCCGTGTCCTTTGTTAAGCGCTGTGGGCCTGTCTTGCAGAGAAGTGTCTCTTCACTTGCCATCTGAGGGCTCTGGCTCAGAGTGATGAAACCATACGGAGTGGTGACTTTCATCAGGTGAGGCAGGGAGAGCGCCGCTCTGCTGGCAGGGTCCATGCTGTGTTGGGCCTCGGGGCATGGGTAGGAGCCCTGCCAATGGAGGCCGGACTTCCTCTGCATCAAAGGGTCAGAGACACTCCGCTCGGCTCTGCGGTCAGATATAACCAAATTCAGACTGGATGTTGAGATGGCTGATGAAGTAGTGGAGGACACAGACACAGACAGAGACACAGACGACTCCTGCTCTGTAACAGAGCTCCCCACACTTTCCTCAGACTCCACATCTTCTTCCTCCTTAGCCTTGTGTGCTGATCTCAGGCCACTCTGCACAGACAGACTAGGGATGGTGAACTGTGGGATGCTGCCCGGTGTTAGGATGTTGGGAAAAACAGTGTCTCTGCTGGTCTGTGAGTCCGATCCCAGAGAACAACCAAAGGACTTTGCACTGCTCGTAGCCCAGAGAAGCGCCCGGATGCCTGCGCTGCTGTGTCTGCGTGCTGTGGAGAAATCATCTGAATCCCTGCTTCTGCTGCTTATTGTTCCGATGCTGAACGTCCGTGTTACTGTGTCCTTGTCCATGTTTCTGCGAGTCGTCCTTTCTGCTCCTGAAGCTTGTGAGGTGAAAACTGATTTGAGGCGGCTTTTATACATCGTCACACACGTTGGCCTCCGCCAAACACAACAACTCATACGTAAATGTGATGCAAGCCAGTGCCGGAAGTGAAAACCAATTAGAGATCTGCTCAAGTGGAGGCACAATGACGGGGCCTCTCTGCTGAAACCTCTTCTCATGTTGAAGAGCTGAAACCACTGCAGCAACAGCTTGTTATCTCTCAGATGTCTGAGACAGAGCGTCAATACTGATCACAGATAACTGCCATAATCATTAATATCATTCATTCACAACAACAGCAATAATATTGACTAAAAATATTTTAGGTGAAAGTGCTTTAAAACCTATATTAGTGTATTTGCTCTTCAGTCCATAGGACGTCACAACCAGGTTATGTTATCACTTCCTGTCAGCTGCAGTCCTTTTGGTCAGTGTAGATGTTGATCACATTTAGTATACGCTAAACATTTCATCAATTGACGAAACTGACTTTGAGTTCTACTGGAAAAGGACTGGAAATTAAAGATTGAGATTGTGAATCTTGGAGGAAAAAAAAGTTTTAATTTCTACCGACTGCCACCGGCTTATCAAACTTCTTACTTTGCTTCCTCCACGTTAATTGACATGACAACAAGTGTTTGGAGCATTGTTTGTTTTTTTTGTGAACAAGTGGGTATTTAAAAAAAAAACCTAAAGTACAGATGCCACTGTTACATTGGCAACACCTCTGTAAACCACTTACAGACTCAGAGGTCACGCTTGGTTTGAACTTGATGCTGTTGCTGTTCTGTCATCCTGTATGGCAGAGACTGTGGACTGATGAGGAAAATGAATCGCCCGTAGTGCTGTTGCCAAAATGAAGAGGACATGAGCAGAGAAATGGATTGATTTAATTCAGGGGTCAGCGACCTTTCTGAAACTGAGAGCTACTTCAAGGACACTCAGTAACACAGAGAGCTGCTTGTCTGATACAGACTTCCTGAACAATGTAATAATAATCAGTTCTGGGACAGACAACAGCAGACACTCTTCTTACCATCAACATTTCACCCACTTGAAAAATGTCAAATGTAAGACCATAGAATTGAACAGAGGTATTTTTTTATTATTTGCTGCAGTTTTCTTTCACGTTTGGTGTAATCTGTCTTCTGAATGACCTGTAAAAATGAATTTAACAATTTGAATTGTAAATGAATTAAGTTACGGTTGTTTGGCTGCAGATATGAACTTAAAATACAAATGTGACATTTTTCTGGCATAATCCAAGTCCTCCACCTCTATCATCCAATGTTTGTATCTTCTCAAACAACCGCAGTCTTCCTGGTTCATAGTAAACATGGAGAGCTGGCCCTAAACTGGTCATGTGACCTCTTTCCGTGCAGGATAATTGGTGGGGCTCTTCTATTGGTCGACGCTGATTGAAGCAGGTGCTTTTACTGAAGCTGATTGGCTGAATCTCAGTGACTTCAGGTACATTTCCTCTACGCCAGTGTTCTCCGAAGTGTTCCTCCTTCAGGAGCAGTTCAGTGCAGGCCGGCACCTCCTCCAGCAGGCTTCAGAACCACCGCAGGATGACCATGCAAATCCTCATAGACTCTGTGGAGCAGCAGGAGGAGAACACGGAGGTACGGTCAGATGTGGAGTTTTTTTTTCCCCCACTTTGTAGTTAGAATTCAGGTTGTGATTTTTATTTTTCTGTATTGTCTGCGCTACCTTCAGGACAGAGTGGTCAGGAAGGACGGCGTCTTTCGCTCCCTGCTGCGTGGTCTCTTTTGGCCTTTTGGCCTCGTGGTAGGGTGTTTTTAAAAATAACCACACGTTAATCATTGAAACGCTTAACTACACTGGTAAGGTGTCTTCTACAGGTGCGGGCATACCGTGGAGTTTGGTGGGTGCTGGGCTTCCGGCCGCCGAGGGAACAGCCCGCCGTTAACGCGGTTGTTTCCAGCCCTGAACGCCAGAGTCTGATCGGCCGCAAGCGCCTGCACCGGGTCACCCGCCTGTTCCTGGCCATCCTGCCCCGCTGGGTGCAACGCGCCCTGGGTTACCCCGTGTCCAGCAGCATTGGCCGGGCTCTCACTCCAGGTACTGTTGATTTAGTGTTTTAAAAGTGTTTTAAATTTTGAAATACCACGTGTTCCTTGTCCACCACCCGGATGCAGTTTTCGTTGGGTCAAGTGTGTCACATGACATGGAAGGGCATTGGATTGTAAGCTGATGAGAAAAGAAAACCCTAAGCTATTTACGTTCTAAATTCAAACTAAACGTTAAATGATTGCTGATGGAGTTTTTTTTTCTTTATTCTGTGATTGTCTTACCCTTTACCTCTTTGTCTAAAGACCAGATTGTTTCAGGGTTGGAGCTGGATCAAGCTAGTTTAGAAAGCTGCAACAAAGCTTCAATGAGTCAATGGCTTTGACTCAAATTTGACATTTGCAAAATCTTGACAGCCATTGTTCTGTTCAGAAAAACATCAATGTCAGTGTTGTACAAAAGATGATCCACATGGTCAGAGCTGTTGGAGGACTGAGGTGTGACCATGTTTTAAACACTTTCCTTCATATAATTTACTGTTGTAAATTCAAACTGTACATCAAGCTTCAATATACATGTCCTCCATAAGAATTGAACTGTTTCCTTTTTATATAAAAGGATTAATGAGGTTTAGAAAAATAAAGTCCAGTTTGGATTTTTAAAAACATTGTCCACTCTGACTGTGCTGCAAAGACTAATGTACCCAATCACTGTCATCTTCACCCACTGTGAGGATGACTCACTCCTTGCTGAGTCATGTTTCCCCCCAATTACCATTAAATATGCAGCATAATGGTGGTTTGTGGCTGACTGCTGAATCACACTTCCCAACAGAAATCAGAGTGTCTCCTACTAAACCATGTGGAAAGGGCAGCAAGAGGAAGCAGGATGACTTGGAGGATGAAGAGGAAGACGAGGACCATCCCACCTGGGTGGAAGCCCTCACTCAGGAGCTAGCCGAGGATGTCGGCCCAGAGGAAGATCCGGACTACGAGGTGGATTGACTAAAACAATTTGGCGTTTTCTTTTGGAAATAGAATCTGAGTCTGTTGTTAAGTAATCCTCTTTGCCTTGCTTCATGATTTCTGAACTTTCTGTTGTCCTTTCAGCCCAGTTCTGTGGAGACGGAGAGTGAAGAATACCACTCGCGCAACAATACAGAGAGTGACATTGAGGTTCCAGAGAAGGGCCTGGTTGTAATTGAAGATGTAAATGTGGTAAGACTGTTTCAGGACGAGGAGGTAGACACTGGCAGTGGATTTAAACCACTAACTTTTCTTTCTCCCACCTTCCTCCCCCCATAGGTTATTGATCCATTTACTCCAGCTCAGGACTCTTTGCCTGGTGTTTAGTGTTTGAATGTTGTCTGTTCGTTGTTACGTATCTTTAACATGTACAATAAAATGTGTTCCCTGACACTGCCGTGTTTGCCCACTAGATGTCAGTAAAGATGTATGTAATTAGAACAGAATAGACGTACTGGTCACTTGACACTTGCTCGAAAGGCACAAATACAATTGCCTATACGGTAACCTGGCTGTCAGTTATGGACCTGGACTGTTGTAGGCCTACTGCTGTTGAACTAAATGTAACGTCTGGTATTCAAACCAGTCTGTTCGTTGTTGGATTTGAACTTTCCTGCGTATGTTGGTTACTGTAATGACAGCCATTAATTCTTAATGTAACACAACATGGTTTGCTTCTCGGTTTGAAACAACTGACAGATGCTATTTAAAATGGTATTTGAGTTAAGAATCAATGATTTAGATCAGCTCGTTTTGAGATTCCTTCTAAGAAGGAAGATGTGGAAATTTCACTGCAAATCTTAGATGACAGCCAATTGAGGCTTCATGAAGCTTGGCTCAATTGTACAGTCTTGCAATAACATGGTTCAGTGAGTAAACAATGGTGTGGATGTCATCTGTTACTTGAATTTGTGATTTATACTTGTTTATTCAGGAGGGACATGAACTTGTAAAACATCAATAACAAATTTGTGAGCACGCTTTAATCTTGGAGATTTAATCAACTTTATACCGCTCTGCCAATTCAACATGTTCCCATATCTGCCGTCGTGTCCTTGATGGCTCCACAGAGAGCCTATTCCAATGTTTTGACAGGAGGTAAAATACAGAGTGCTCTTTCTCCCATTTTTTAAATGCATTAATAGTGGAATGTTTCAAAAGTCTGCAACAAACCAAATTGATCACCACGTTCAGACAGGAAGTGGTTTGGAACTTCATCAGTTATGTGTGTTTTCTAGAATTTGAAGCAATGTCCTGTGTAGTGCTTCAGAAAAATACCACGGTGATTCTTGAAGTGTGTTTCAGAACTAATCATCAGATGCCACACAAACCATTACTGTGGCTGAGTTCCAGCTCCTGGTAATGTGCTGCATCACATCCTTCTCATATATACTTCCTGTCTAGCTGCAGTTCTATCTATAACTGACAGAAGTTTGTGTTCTCTGTGATGTATTCATGACTCAAGTTTGGAGTTTTTGTTTTGTTTTTTTATTTGGTTAGCAGCTCAATTGAATGTCAAGGGACAAAATGGAAGCCATTCCTGGGGATGTTAATGATTGTTTTGGTTTTTTTTAAGGCACTGTAGCAGCAGAGCTTAAACAATGTTGTGTATGAACTTGTATTAGATTCTATGTGGCAGCGCCTAAACAGTTATTTTTATAATGTAAAGATGTAAATAAAAACAAACAAAAAAAAAGCTTAGCCTAGCACTCAATGAATTAGTGGACTAGGCTACTGCATCAACTATTAATGAGGAAGGGTTTTTTTTAAGCTTAAATTAACAGAATATGTAGACTAACTGGTTCATTACAGCACACACACTTTGCATTTAAGGTTCAAATATATTCAAATCTGCTGATTTAATACATACGGTAAATTAACCATAGACAGTATTTTAGAATTGATCATCAACAAATTGTCAACCAGTGCTCTGTTATGCTTTGCCATTGTTCCCCAAATTATACATTTAAAAAAAAAAAAAATTAGTTTAATGTTTTATTCAGTGCAATTTTAATTACATGTATTGTGTTGATATTTTCTACTGGGGACATTTGGTATTTTGGATAGAATTGTATAATAATAATGTCAGGGGTGACCTGATGGAGGTCTATCTCCCCCTGCTGTCTTCAGTTTAAAACTACAAAGTCTTTAATTAATTCAAAAAATCCAAATAGAGCCTTTGATAAAAAGAAAAAGTAGTAAACTGGTAACTGAGCAAAGTATTTCAGTCTTACTGCTGAAACCTCGAGTTATTTTGACACTCCACTTTTACCTTTGTTTTTCTTTTCCCTCTCAGAGCTTTTTTAACATCCTGAAGCTCAGGTGTAACACCGGCTGGCACCTCAGTGAAGCAGCAAAGAGCTCAGTGGTATGAATTAAACGGTCGGTGTGTGTTTGGTGTGTGCGGGTGTGTGAAGGGCAGCAGAAGCAGTGAGCTCTGGAAACAGGAGAGAAAGCGGTGGTCTCAGGGGCTTCTCTTGGCTGGCTGACTGTTTGAAGGGTAGACTGTTGATGGAGAGCATCAACCTCTGTCTCTGGTGATGGAAACCAGCAGGAGTCTGCTTTGAAACCAGAAGCTCTGTTTCAGCCTTTCAATGGAAATGGTGAAAAACACCGTGACTGGAGAAGGTGTAAATTTCATGCACGAACCCATAGTGTGCCAGAGAACAAAAAGCAGCCTGCATCATACTGGGAACATGGTGGATGCTGCATGCATTATTTTCTAGAGATGATCAGTTCAAATGAGGAATATTGTGGCGGTGACGGGTGGGTTTTTTGTGTGGAAGGACTGAGGTTTTTTATTGATGCAAGACCTGGAAATGTTGGTGTTGCAGCAGCAGTGAATCAGGCAGATCTTACGCTTCATAAAATATAAAGACATTACCCATAGCTGTACAACATGTACTAGAGATTGTCTAATGTGTCAGATATTTGCTTGCGGCAGTGGTTTTGACAACAACAAATCAGCAAGAAATAGAAGGAAAAGTATCAGATTCACTAGACTGCTGTAAAGAGTCTGAGTGCACATCAGAACCATAACCCACTGGGACAAAGGTTGTGGGTCACCTGTGATATATAATAACATCCATTATGTAGTTTGTCCCACATAAATGTAAGATCCCAGTTGCAGAGCAGTAGACCATGAGCTGTGAAGGCTGGTACATCAATATCCTTTCATTTAAATTTAAAAACTTTAACTTATTTTACAAACATGGGATTGTGGGTGGAACTGGCTGCAGTAGGATTTTTCCTGCAATGCAGTATAGAAAAGGCTAAACAAATTTTAGCCTTTATGTATGACTTTAACATGTCAATTATCTTAGTTCACGCAAACGCTCCATCTATCTGCTCCTGACCCGGCCCCACTGTTTAATTAAAGACCCATTGTGGGCAGACGAGTCAAAAAGTTTGCCCACGTTTGCCCTACAGCCTGTGAGTTGCAACTATATGCTTAATGTCGTCTCCCGTGGCAGCCTGAAAGGGTTGCAAAGACTCATATTGTGAATTTCCCTGTTGTTAGACAAATGAGGTACTTGATTTTTATTATTATTAAATTGATTCTGTGACATCACTTATTTAAATATTAATTACCAAGTCTGCACAGCGACTTGGCTGAGCTCTATATACCTACAGATGTCAAGACAAAACCTATACTTGATACACATACCTTAAATTGTATTTCATTATAGGGCTTGTAGGTAGTTCCACATTCCCTGACTAGTGCTAGTGTCACACTATGGGTCATTATTTTCTTTGCTGAATGTTATTTTCATGGCTTCTTTTTCTGACTCCACTTTTACATGTTAATTAAGTTTTTTTTATATATATATATATTTTTATTTATATTATAGTAATTTATTTATTTTACCCATTTACTGGCTCTTCACCTAAATTCAATGACATAAAGTTGTTGCCAAACACATTTATCCATATTGTACACAAACGTCCATGCAGCCTGTGTGACGCTGGTCTCTGCACAGCTTTCTCCAGGACTCGGTGACATCACATTATTGTCACCATGAATGAATGGCAGCAGGTGCTGGCTGATCCCCAGGCAGCCAAATGTGTCCTGCAGGCTATTATCTGCTACATTGCAATGTGACTCTTTAATGTCCGCTGACAAGTCCTCAAACTCATTCCCCTGCTTCTCACATTTTCCACTCTCTCTGTGTTTACCGCCCCTCTGTCTCTCCGTCTGGAGGTATGTTTTGCTTCACCTCCGGCTCAATGATCAGCTGTTCCTGCAGATTTCACGAGATGCGCTCATCTTCAAAAAGGCATGTAAATGAAGCAGACAGACGTCAGAAAGGGGTGGAAACAAATCAAATAAAGTCAACCAACATGGAAGCCAGACATTGTTCAATCCGTTTTAATTAAAGCAATATTGAGTAAGTGGAGGACCAGCTGGTGCCGCATGAGCAGCTGCAGCATCAGTGAACTGTGTCTAAAAATCAAATCAAGCTTAGGAGGCACAACATAATTGAGGAATATTTAGCTTTTGAAATTCTTTCACCTGACGAATCAATTTACAATTGGTAATTTAAATTAATTAAACACTTTTAGAAGTCATGTATGACATACTGTACCTATGTAGGACACCTGGTTACTCCCAAAACCATTAGAGCACTTTCTGGTCACAGTCTTAAACCTGAAAATATCACCATCAACGTAGTAAGCAGCACCTTTTTCATATACTGTCCATGGGTTGTCCTTATTAGTCCGCAGGTCAGAAACACTATTTACGTAAAGCTAGCACGAACTTTATGCAAGGTGCAGGGCCTACAAAGTGCGTACTGTCAGTCCCTGCTGATGCCTAGAAAGTAAATTTGCTCATACATTCGTTATCGATGCTATTCATAGCTACTGCCCTGAGAGCAATGAGATATGACACTGAGAGAGAGAGCTGATGAGAGCGCTGAGTATGAATTATTCTAGGTCAGGAGTAAATCTTTATCCACCTTCGGTATTTGCAGCACGGAGGCTTTTCTACTCTTGTTTCATTACTTGATGACACCAGCTGTTGGCTGTATGAGATGTCTTGTTAATAAGGCAGTCAGAGATGGTCAGATTTCCAAATATGTTAAATGTTTTTGTTTAAGTTCTTATTTTTTTGGTACTTGAATATGTTTTGATAAAATTATACTATAATTTATACTATTATATACTATAATCTTCTAGTTTAAATGATCTTATAATTGACTAAAATCTTGGCCTGTTTAGCTGAAAACAATGCTGATATACTGGCAAGAATTGAAGAAAGACAAAGATCTTTTTCAACAGCTCGTATTATCTTTTTATAGTTTTCATAACCATCTGCTGCCACCTAGCAGAAGAGTATTTAATTGCTCTGCCTTTCATGCTTTGACAAACAAAGAAAAATTATATGCAATATAATTCTTAATAATTATTTTACCACCTTGGCTAATAAGACAAAATATAAATATACTTTACTTAGTTACATGGTGACCTGAAGCCAAGCCCAGCAGTCATCTATTTAAGGCAGATATTTGAAATAATTTCTGATTTGCAGTTCCTTGTTTCACAAATGCAAAAAGGGCAAAGAGTCAAATTATTGGTTTTACAGAGCAATGTCTCATTCATTGGTCTGAAAACTGCTAGCAGTCAACTGAACTCTGTTTTTCTTTTCTTGATGAAAATGCCTCAGGGGACTAATTCCTCAAGTGATAAAGGAAGGCATCTGCTTCCTCCAGTGCAGTCAACAGTGACCGCACCTGTTCACACAGTGCAGAAGGACAAATTTAGCCACATTAGGTTTAATTTGTGAGACACATGTGAAACAACAAACTTTTCCAACACCATCACCATCAAGAAAAAACATACTGCAGTACATGTATATCTGTTTACATTGTCACAGAGGTTGAATTAAATATTTAACTTGTAATTAAAT